TCTGTTTTGTGAGTTGTCTGAGCTGTAATGGCTTAACTCTCTGCAGTCACTTTTCACACCCAAACTAGGACTGTTTATGACCAGGAGAAATGGACTCCTGAATTACGATTGGGCACTCTTAGCCATACTTTTCAGGAATTAGTTTAGGTACCTGCAAGTGAGGAATCCTTTATTCTTTTTAGTGTTAAAAATAATGTATATGCCGGGCCTGGTGGCACACGCCTTTAATCCAGCACTTGGGAGGCAGAGGCAGGCAGATATCTGTGAGTTCAAGTCCAGCCTGATCTACATAGTGAGTTCCAGGATAGCTGTGGCTACATGGAGACCCTTTCTCAAAAAGACCAAAAAAAAAAAAAAAAAAAAGATAATGTATATGTGCTCACATACCACAGCGAATTTGTGTGGAAGTCAGAGAACAGCTTGTGGGAGTCAGTTCTGTCTACCATGTGGATCCTAGCATAGAGCTCAAGTCCATCAGGCTTGCTGGCAAGTGCCTTTACCCAGTGGGCCATCTTGCCACCCTTTGGGTTTAAGACAGGTGCTCAGGTAGCCCAGGCTGGCTTTGAACTTGGAGCAGTCCTGCCTCAGCCTCCTGAGCACTGGGATTATAGGTGTACACTACCACACCTGCCTTTCTGAGCAATTTATTGCCTCCTCTAACCCCATCAGAAGGACTATTATGAAAAATAACTAGCTTAATTATTAAAGTTTAATGTGGCATCTTGATTTCTAGAGCTGATTGCACTGGAAATGGCTTGTCACTATTTCAGGGGAGAGCTGGGATTCAGGGTCTTATAAGTGCTAGGCAGTTCTCTACCACTGGTGAGATGGCTTAGCAGGTAAAGGGACTTGTCACTAAGCCTGACAACCTGAGTTCCAGTCCCAGAACCTGTATGGTAGAAGGAGAAAATTGACTCTTCACCTCTTAGGTGCACATACACATGCCCCCTCCGCCCAGTAAATGAATACATTAAAAATAATAGGCTTATTAGGTTTCAGGAGCTGGAGAGATGTCTCAGTGGTTAAAAGCAATGGCTACTCTTGGCAGGTGACCTGGATTTGATTCCTAGCACCCACATGGCAGCTAACAACCATCCTTAACTTCAGTTCCAGGAGATACAACCCCACCCCCCCTTTTTGGTGGGGTCTTTTTGAGACAGGGTCTCCCTGTAGCCCCAGCAGGCTTGGCACTCACTGTGTAGACCAGGCTGGCCTGATCTCACAGAGATCTGTGTGCCTGCTGGGACTAAAGGTGCATGTCATCACGCCTGGCTCCAGAGCATTCTTTTGACTCCTGAGGACATTTCACCCATGTGTTACACTTAACATGCAAACAAAAAGCTCATACATATGGAATAAAAATAGGTACCTTTAATTTTTTTTGTGGGGGGGGGTTCAGGGTCTCCCCGTAGCTCCAGCTGTCCTGGAACTCACTGTGTAGAGTTGGCCTTGAGCTCACAGAGATCCGCCTGCCTCTGCCTCTGCCTCACGAGTGCTGGGATTAAAGGCGTGTGCCACCATGTCCAGCGATAACTTTAATTTAAAAAATTTATTACTTTAAAAAATTTTTATGTGTATTTCCTGAATGTGTGTTAGTGTACCCGTGTCAAGCAATGTCTGTGGAGATCAAAAGAGGGTGTCGGATTTCCCTGGAACTGGCATTACGGACGGTTGTTAGTCATCATGTTGGTGCTAGGAATTGAAACCAGATCCTCTGCTAGAGCAACCAGTGCTCTTAGCCACTGAGCCATCTCTCCTGCCACGTGCTTTTAAAGATCAGATTTTAGTTCTTTAGGGCAGGGAAGTTTTGTTTATTACCATATTCTTCTGCCAGTGCCCGGCAGACATACTCAAGAAGTACTAGCTCAGTGTAGCTGTTTCTCTTCCTGAAGCAGACTATGACAGCCCTGAAGGAGATTGTGTTCATTTTAAAACTGAACTGTTGAGTTGACTGTGTGATCAGCTAAATGGATTAAAGTCCCCATCATTTGATCTGAGTTGAGAGAACAGAATTCAAGAAAGGCAGGGAACTTGCCCAGAAACACCTAGAAGTGACTCATTGAGTTGTCAGGACTGGAACCTCCAGGCCAAGGGTAGGGGATGAAGGCTCACAACCATGCCAGGTGTCAAGATCACTGGGTTCAGAGGAATTGAGTTCACAGGCACTAGCAGAGATTTTGGTGGAGTGCCCATTGGTAGGTTTTCCAGGGAGGGTGGTCAGCTAAGGAGAGTAGTGTCTTGCTTCATGGGGATGCACATTTTATGTGTATGAGTATGTTGCCTGCATGTATGTAAGTGCACCTGTGTTGTGCAATGCCCAGGGAGGTCAGAAGAAGATGTTGAATTCCCCTGGAACTGGGGTTATGGACGGTTGTTAGCCACCGTGTGGGTATGGAAAATCAAACCTGGGTCCTCTGTAAGAGCAATCAGTGCTCTTAACCATTGAGCCATCTCTCCAGCCCAGCAGTGAATTCTTAGTGTTGCTCATTGCCAGGCACAGGAAGAAGAGTCTTGGTTGAGCTCTTAGTAGTTTTTGAAACTTGGCATGACTTTGTTTCCTGCTGGTGTCTATCTGTAGAGACATGAGCTGTTACCAGGCTGCCACCATCACATCTTTTGAGGAGAAACAGAACTCTTGTCCAGAAAGTTTGAGGACAGTGCAAACATCTTGTATGGTAATTTTTATAGTGGACCCAGATCCCAAAAAAGTGGTTACAAGGAAGCAGAAAGGCACCTAGAATCCATGACTAATCTTCACTGACTGAGCTTTCATCCATCAGGTGGTTTTGGACCTTAAAGGCTCTATAAATCCATAAACTGCTTGGTAACTGGTAGATTGTGGTTCAGTTACCTTCGTCACTTACACTGTTGTCATCTCTCTAAATGCCTAGGGGTAAGGGATTTGTTAAGAGAGAAGAGAGGAAGAGACCAGCTTCTACAAGTTCATAATCACTGATGCATTTATGGTGGACACCATTTTCTGGGGTGGTTGTTTTTTGGGGTTTTTTTTTTGGTGTTTTTGAGGTCTCCCTGTAGCCCCAGCTGTCCTAGTACTCACTGTGTAGACCAGGCTGGCCTTGAACTCACAGAGATCTGCCTGCCTCTGCCTCGAAGTGCTGGGGTTAAAGGTGTGCACCACCACGTCTGGCTTCTGTTTGTTTTTTACACTTAACCTTAGCCAAAAGGCAGAACAGCAGTGGGGTTTTGTTTGTTTATGTGATAGGGTCTCCCTATAGTCCAAGCTGGCCTGGAACTCTATATGTAGAACAGGCTGGCCTCTTCTCCTAGAGATCACCTGCCTCTGCCTCACAAGTGCTGGGGCTACAGGGAGACCCTGTCTCAAAAAGACCTAAAAAAAAAAAAAAAAAAGAAAAGAAATTACTTACACTTTATTTTAGAATTTACTTATTTTATGTGTATGAGTATTATGCCTACATATGTGGAAATGCACCAGTGTCGTGATATGCCCATGGAGGTCACAATACGGTGTTGTATTCCCCTGGAGTTACAGATAGTTGTTAGATGCCTTGTGGGTGCTGGGAATCAAATCTGGGTCCTCTGTAAGAGCATCCAGTGCTCTTAACTGCTGAGCCATCTCTCCAGCCCCAATTACTGTTACTTTAAAATACCCTGTTTACCGGTACTTTAAAATACCTCTGTTAGTCCCAGCAGAGATGGCAGATCTCTGTAAGTTCAAGGCCAGCCTGGTGTACATAGTGAGTTCCAGGCCAGCTGGGGCTACAGGGTGACCCTGTCTCAAAAAAAAATTATTTATTTATTTATTTATTTATTTATTTAGTCTTTCTGAAGCAGAGTCTCCCTGTAGCTCCACCTGCCCTGGAACTCACTGTGTAGACCAGGCTGGCCTTGAACTCACAGAGATCCACCTGCCTCTGCCTCCCAAGTGCTGGGACTACAGACATGCGCCACCATATTTTTAAAAATATTTTATTATCTTATGTGTATGAGTATATTGCCTGCATGGATGTGAGTGCACCCATGTCATGCAATGCCACAGAGGTCAGAAGAGGGCTTTGGATTCCCCTGGAACTGGAGTTAAGGATGGCTCATAGCCGCCATGTGGGTGCTGGGAATCAAACCCGGGTCCTCTGCCAGAGCAGTTAGTGCTCTTAACTGCTGAGCCATCTCTCCAGCCCCTAAATTTTTTTATTTTTATGTGTGTATGTGTGCGTATGCGTGTGTGTATTGCCAAGTGCACCTGTGTCGTGCAATGCCTGCAGAGGACAGAAGAGGCTGTCAGATTCCCTGGGACTGGAGTTACAGACAGTTGTTAGCTTCCATGTGGGTGCTGGGATTTGAACCCAGGTCTTCTGTAAGAACAGCCAGTGTTTTTAACCACTGAGCCATCTCTCCAGCGCCTCAAAAGGACTTTTACAAACAACTGTTTCTATTTCCATATCCCGGAATTTGTATCCCACCCCTCTTTTTCTTACTGTTATTATCAAACCATTCTTGTACTGTGAAACATTTAAATTTGGGGGGTGGTTATAATTACAGATAATGTTCTATTTAAAACTTTTCGGCAGGGGCCAGGAGTGGTGGCAAAGGCATTTAATCCCAGCACTTGGGAGGCAGAGGCAGGCAGATCTCTGTGAGTTAAAGACCAGCCTGGTCTACATATTGAGTTCCAGATAGCTGTGGCTACAGGGGGACCCTGTCTCAAAAAAGACCAAAAAAAAAAAAAAAGAGAGAGAGAGAGAGAGAGACCGAGACCAGAGAGCCTTGCTGTGTTCTGAGGTTGGCTGGCCTTAAACTCCCTGTCCTCTTGCCTCATCCTCTTTTGGGATTAGGCCTGACAGAGAACCAGGTCCTAAAGGCTGGGTTGTTGTCCTCCATCACTGTGTCCCCAGTCGTTAGGAAGTGCTTAGCAAGCATTTCAGTGGCTTCTTTAAGGAAATTGTTCTGAGCTCGAAACAAGTTCTTGCTCTGTGATTTAAACCAACATGCTGTCCCTAAGCACATCTACCTTCTTTCAACAGAAAGTGATTTTCTGCCCTGTCAAAGAGGCTCTGGAAGTAGATTGGAGCAGTGAGAAAGCCAAGGCCACCTCGAAGCGCACAGCCCCAGACTACTTTCTGCTGCAAGGTGAGGACTGGAGGCAGAAATATTTTAATCTGTTCATAATGACCTGCTTTCCACAGTTGAGCCTGAGGTAATCATGTGAGTGTTTCAGCATTTTCTCACACAACCTCCTCTCTTAGAGAATTCTTCCCTGGTGTCAAACCTTCATTCTTGCGACACTCTCATGAAAGGTGTTTGAGTTCTTTCTTTCATTTGTTTGTTATCTTTTCTTTTTTTGTATTTTTCAGACAGGGTCTCCCAGTAGCCCCAGCAGGCCCAGAACTCTCTATGTAGACCAGGTTGGCCTTGAACTCACAGAGATTGGCCTGCCTCTGTTTCCGGAGTGCCACCACACCCAGCTTGTTTGTTATCTTTGCAGCAGGGTCTCACAGTGGAGCCAAGGCTGACCTTGAACTTGGTGACTGTCCTGGTTCAAGCTCCCAAGTTTTGGGATCATAGGCGTGCACCACCACACCTGGCTCCCCCTCACTATAAATGAGCCATTTTTCAGTTTCTCCTTGCTGATTTTTAGGGGTTTTATAGCAAAATATTGATTGACTTCTCAGTGTATTTCTGTGTCTGCTACTTTAATGTCCAAAATAACATTTAAGGCCGGGCATGGTGTGGTGACGCATGCCTTTAATCCCAGTACTTGGGAGGCAGAGGCAGGCGAATCTCTGAGTTCAAGGCCAACCTGGTCTGCATAGTGAGTTCCAGGACAGCTGGGGCTACAGGGAGACCCCATCTCAAAAAGACAAAAAAAAAACAAAACATAATGTGGCTTCTGTTACCCACTGAGCTATCTCATGAGTGGGAAATGTATGAAATTTAAAAAGCTCAATTAAGCCGGGTGTGGTGGCGCACGCCTTTTATCCCAGCACTCAGGAAGCAGAGGCAAGCAGATCTCTGAGTTCAAGGCCAATCTGGTGTACGTAGTAAGTTCCAGGACAGCTGGGGCTATAGGGAGACCCTGTCCCAAAAAGACAAAAATAGATAGATGATAGATAGATAGATAGATAGATAGATAGATAGATAGATAGATAGATAGATAGATAGATAGATGATAGATAAAAAATAAATAAGTGTGATGCTAAAGATTTAACCCATGGCCTCGCTGTCAGGCAAGCTCACAGTTACATCCCCAGCCAATAGGGTTAACTACCATTTTAAGGGTGAGGCCCTGGGATCCAGCACCAAAAAGAAGTACTTAATGAGATCCCAGAGAGAGAGAGGGAGGGAGGGAGGAAGGGAGGGAGGGACAGAAAACAAGAAGTTGTCAGAAAAAAGTGATGGGGAGATATGGGAGGTGTTGGAGGGGAGGGAGGGGGCATGGATTTGATCAAAATACCTTATATGCATGTATGAAATTCTCAATAAAAGTTAAAAAAATATGAAATCCTCTCTCAAAAACAAACGGGGCTGGAGAGATGGCTCAGCAGTTAAGAGCGCTGGCCGTTCTTGCAGAAGATCCCAGTTTGAATCCCAATACCCACATGGCAGCTACTAACCATCCATAACTCCAGTTCTTGGGGATCTGATGCCCTCTTCTGTCTTCCATGGGCACTACATGACATGAGTGCACTTACACACATGCAGGTAGAGCATGCATAGAAATAAAAATAAAAATTAAAAACAAACAAAATATATAATCTGATAAAAATCTTGCATCAGTGAAGTTGTCTCAAAAAGACCAAAAAAAAATAGAACAACCTCTGGGACACTTTAAAAGCAATCCTAAGAGGGAACTGCCTTTAATCCCAGCACTGAGGTGGCAGAGGCAGGCAGATCTATATGAGATCCAGGCCAGCTTGGGCTATATAGTGAAACCCTGTCTCAAAACAAAGCACAAAAATAAGTATACAAAAGAAATATATTTCATTAGAGTTTTTAGAATGCAAGGACTTTAGAAACCGACCAGTTAATTTCATCCTGCCATTTCATAACTGAGTAAACAAACTCCCCAGAAGTCAAATTGACTTATCTGTTCCTGGTCATAAAGACAGTTAGTGAAAAATATGTTTAGCAAAAAATCAGTTTACATGTAGGAGCTGTTTTGCTACCCTGAAAAGCTGAATGAGGTCTGCTTCATGGGCATCTCGTGCTTGTATGAGTTGCCGAGCAGGAAATTGAAAGCTATAGTTATAAGAATATAAGAGCAAGGTATAGCTGGGGGTGGTGGCACATGCCTTTAATCCCAGCACTTGGGAGGCAGAGACCGACTGATCTCTGTTTAAGGCCAGCCTGGTCTCAATAGCGAGTTCCAGACCAGCTGGGGCTACAGGGAGACCCTGTCTCCAAAGACTAAAAAAAGGGGTTGGAGAGATGGCTCAGCAGTAAAAGCACTGACTGCTCTTGTAGAGGACATGAGTTTGAATCCCAGCACCCACATGGTGGCTAACCACTATCTTAATTCCAGTTCCAGGGGATTGAACACCCTCATCCTCCAGAAGCACGGTATGACACGGGTTCACTTACGTACATGCAGGAAATACACTCATACACATAACAATTTTTTTTTTTAAAGTAAGGTGTTAACTCCGGAGGCAGAAGCAGGCAGATCTGTGTGAGTTCAAGGCCAGCCTGGTCTACATAGTGAGTTCCAGGTCAGCTGAAGCTACAGGGAGACCCTGTCTAAAAAAAAAAAAAGTAAGGTGTTAAGGTGGGGCTGTAGCTCAGTGGTAGAGACACTTGTCTCACATGCATGAAGCCCTAGGTTCAAGCTCCAAAACTGGCAAAAGGTTGAGAGAGAACAAAGTGTTACTTGTACTGGAAACTGAGCTTAATTCCTACACACTGGGCATTCTAATCTAGAATCATTAGTCTAACAGGAGGTTAAAGAGTTAACGAAGTGCACTTCAGCAGAAAACTGACCAGGCCCTTGTCCTCTCTGCATCTGGAATGCTCCTTTTAGCATTTGCAACACCTAGAAATGTGACCATTTCAGAAGACAAAAATTTGCTGATGAGGGGCTGGAGAGATGGCTCAGCAGTTAAGAGCACTGACTGCTCTTACAGAGGACCCAGGTTCGAATCCCAGCACCCACATGGTGGCTAACAACCATCCATAACTCCAGGTTCCAGAGGATCCGACACCCTCCCCTGACTTACAGGGGCATTGCACGACACGGGTGCACTCACATGCAGGTAGTACATTCATACACATAAAAAAATAAAAAGAAGAAAATATTTTTTTTTAAGAAATGGTCTGATGAGATGACTCAGCATGTAAAGATGTTTGCCTCGCAAGCCTGGAGACCTGAATTTGATCCCTGGAATCCACATAACGGTGGAAGGAGAGAACCAATTCCACAGAGTTGTCCCTTGACATCCATACATGTGCCACGGCACATGTACCCAACACAATAATAGTAAATAAAAATGAAGAAAAGAAAAAAATCAGGAATGTATAGATGCAGACATGCAATGGAGGTTAGGGACAAGGCCCCAGGAAAGGATTTATGGGATGTCCAGAAATTAAGGAAGGGCCCTATGTGTTATAAATAGTCAGAATCTGGGAGAGGCAGGAAGCTTGCTTGGGTTTTACAGTAAACCATGTACTGTGTGTATGCATTTGCTCTTTTGTTTGGTTTTAGGTCTTCTTTTTTTTTTTTTTTTTTTTTTTTTTTTTTTTTTTTTTAAAAAAAAAGATACAGGATCTCCTGTGATCAACCTCACTATATAGCAAGGTTGGCCTTGCACTGTCTCATCCTTCTGCCTCTGCCACACCCAGCTAATTGGATTTTTTTATTTGATGACTTGAATTATATGGGGAGCTCTTTGAACTTTCGTGTATAGCCTTGTTCTGTTGGCTGGGTAATATACCATCATCTATGCCCAGCTGGTCTGGAAAGTTGTGTAAGTTGTTTTCAGTTTTCCCAGCTCTTGGAATTTATTCCCAAGATCCTTTCTGGGAATGTGACCTATGTGAGGTGACTTCATGTCACCTGATGCTGCCCAGTGAGGACAGGGTGCTTGATTGTGGTGCACACCTAAGAATAAAAAACCTAGCTTTATTTTCCCATTGCCCAGTGAAGCATATTCTGAGTGCTCCATAGATGACTATTTTTGTCTGAGTGACTAGTTGGTGCTTACGTGGTCATTTGCACCACTTCAGAGAGAACTGCTTACGTGCTGGTGTCCCTGCAGTGCCTCTTCCTGTCTGCTCCCTAGGTTACCCCCTGGATTTTGTTTTGGCTTTGCCTTTTTTCCCCTATACTGGGGTTTGACGCTAGGGCCAGCCTTGTGCACGCAAGAAAAGTGCTCTACCACCATTCTGTATTTCCGGCCCTTACAATTTTGAGACAGTGTCACTAGGTTGTCTAAGCTGGCCTTGAACTGTGATCCTTCGGCCTCAGTGTCTCAAAAATGGGATGATAGTGCATGTGCCATCAGGCCTATTACAGAACCAGGCTTTTGATTCCAGAGTCTTCCTGGCTGGGTGCTTAAGAGTCTCATGTTGCCCATTGAGAACTGAGCCTCTGGTGAAGCAGCTGCCCTGCTGTCCATGTGCTTGTCGTATTTGGGGACAGAGTGTTTTTCCAGTTTGTCTAACACGACAGTGGCCAGACTAAATGCTTCCTGCTGCATTTTTCCACTATCTTGAGAGCTGGCCTTACCATCTGTGAGCAGAAAGGTCTCTTCTTTTTATTATTCTCCCATGGCGTGTTGCAAAACATTAAGCATGAGCTGGTTTCCTGTGGCAAAAATTGTCTTTGATTTGTTCTTTTTGAGGTTACTGTGAGTTTATCATAACAGGAGTGCTAAAAATACTGGCTCTCATATGGAAACAGCATTCACTTAGCAGCATGAACAGTGGTGTGGAGGCTTACCCCAGAGCAGGAAGAAAGGGACTTCTTGATGAGAGTTACTCTCAGGATCCTCAGCCATCTCCACTTTCTCAGTCTGTGTTCTATACGATATGGAAAAGTACTTAAGAGATACTTGAGCCTCAGAACTGAAGCCAAAAATAATCGGAGGCCAGACATTTGGGGAGCACTTGAATTTGCCAGATCTTATGGTTTAGAA